TTTATAAACAAATAATTTATTTGACAAATTTTTTTCTATTTGCCAGGAAAAAATGTTCTGGCTAAAACCTGCAAGTTCTGGCAAAGAGAAAACAATTTTTATTTCTCAATTTTGTTCTCTTTTACAATTTCTGGTAAAAACCTGCAAACATGACAAGTAAAGGAACAAAGCTAATAATTCAAATACAGTGGACGTCCACTAGTACGAATTATATAGTGTCAGGCCCTTTCGTAATACCGAAAAATTCGTATTATTGAACAACACATTTTGTATGTTTAAATTCAAATAATACACATAAAATATTGGATTTTATTTATTTTTGTTTTATTTTTCATGAAAAATTACATAACGGAACAAAATATAATAAACGTGTATTATTTTAAATAAATTTCTTGTACATAACCAGGCATAAAAGGGACATATTTACGTATATGAATTGTTAATTTTGAAAGTATCGTGAGTCCAATGGTTGAAATGAGATATATGTAGAAGGTTTTAAATTTTAATGTTTTTAAAAAGATGTGTGCCAAAGACAACTTGCAATTTACATATGTGTTCTAAAATGTATTAAAATGTTCAGATTACATAAAACTTTTATTAGAAACTTGAATGTAATATACCACAATTCTCTAATTTATAATTTTCTCTTAAAAATTAGAATAGTTATCCTTAAACCCATTGTTTGGAATATGGAGTCACACTACTTTCAAAATTAACAGTTCATACATACATATGTATATAAATATCATTTTACTTATTAAAAAATCCATCATTTAACATCGATGTTTATTACATTGTAAAATGATTCTTACGGCTTTTTCAATAACAGCGCTTTTGAGGCTTCAATATTGTTCTCAGCGGAGTCATTGTCGGGAACTAATAAAATACTTTCCTCATTGGCGTTATCATCCAATTTAATTTCTTCTCTTGGGTCACCAAAATTCCAATAAAATAAATTAATAACACTAAATAATTGTTGATTTGTAAATATACATGCAGTAAATTGTGTGTATAGGATTTTTAAAAATACAAAACACTTGTAATAAATACAAAAAAACTTCAAAATTACTGAGCTTAAGATGAATGATACCGAAATAATTAAATAAAAACATAATAAAAACTTCATTCATACGTAAATAAAACCAAAATTCCCATAAAAAATGCGTTATTCGTACTATCGAACAGAAAAATTGTGACTTTATTCGTACTATAGAGTAGACAATGCAACAATTTTGCCATTCGTATTATTGGATATTCGTAATAAAGAGTATACGTACTATTGGACGTCCACTGTAGTCTTGTTTTTGATTTTTTTATACAAATGTGTTAATTTGAAATATTTGAATTTGATTTTATTCAATATTTAATTTTTTTTAATGAACAAAACTGAATAAAGATTTTATTGTATGATTAAATCAGGAAAAAAATGATTTTTGCTGTTCTCTGGTATGCATGTTAAGTTTTCTTTTTTCCCATTTTTATGTTATTTTTAGGCATGTTAAGTTTCCTTTTTCAGATTATTATCTTATTTTATCGTAATATTTAACAATCACTTATGATAGTTTTTATCATCTAAGTGGGCTGATTTTATTGAAATTTTCGCAGAATCTTCCTGTATGTCTGGAAAGAATTATAGGATACTTATTTCCAAATTTCAAGTAGTCGAGATGCCACGCCCAAATATAAAATAAATAAGAGCTAGAATATTAAAATTTTTCATAGGTTCCCAGCAAAAAAAGACGTGCAAAAAAGTAGTAAATGCATGGGTTGAACTGATAATGAACTGGTTCATATTTAGGGGAAACTGCATGATTTTAACATTAGCGTGTCATTGGCATGCATGGGTTCGTATTTGGAAAAAATAGTTCATTTAAATGAGTTCTTATAACCAATGAATATTCGATGATTCTCAAGCGAATTTTCATTGGTGCACTATATTTATTTAAAAATGCATTAATAATGGTATTTCGATTTAATTATCAATATTTAAATAATTTTTTTGCTAAAAATAAAATAAGATAAAACATAACTAACTGATTTTGATTGGATTTAAATTCATGCAGAGGAAAAAAACCCATTGTGTTTTAAAATCCGTTAAGCAGCCTTGGTTTTTTCCTTCTCTTATTAGTGTTAAAATGGTAAGTCCATAAAATATTACTAATTTTAACAAAAATCTAAATCTAATGAATGTCATTTTTAATATTTATTGTATGAAATGCACGTTTTCGTAAACTCTCCTAAGAGAATACCAAATTATAGTAAAATATTACAATTCCTATAGTGGAGTTACATGAGTGAATTTGGGTGCATTTTTCATGCCTTCACTGATGACAAATTTATTAGAATTTAGGCATGTATTTAAAACGCATTAAATAGAATACTTACTAAAGAAATCATGAAAATATCCCTTCTTCTTTAACAACTTCAAAATTTTTTTGCTGGGAACTTCAAAATTTTTTTGCTGGGTTACATTAAAATCCAAATTAACGTTTGGCAAAAATTGGAGAACTTGCAATGGTTGGCGTGGCCACTCCCATATGAAATAAAGTGTTTTTTATTTGTATATTGCTTTAAGAGTAGCAAAACACACTGGGTATAGCTAGGGTATTATAAAACAAAGGGAATTGTTCATGTTGAATTTGCATTTCGCATAAATTTGTCAATTATGACTTGAAATTGCATAAGATCTAAAGTCGCAATCGCAAATATTGATTTTTATTATTATTTTTTTTCTCACCTTTGCAACACAGAAAATAAATAAACATTTTGTGTAGGTCCGTCATTGTATTTTTTTATTTTTATTCCTTTCTTATATTGAATATTTCAGTTTATTTAAAACACATTTTATTTTCTAACGTATGTATATGATCTATACGAATTGGCCAGGGTTTAACAACATTAATATTTTTAGTTATTTTAACAGCAATAGGTAAACAGGGGTCAGACAAGAAAAAGGTACTATTTATTGATTAAATATATTATATGTATACATGTATGTACATATGTATGTATCTACATATTGTTTTTCTATACATACATATGCTTCATAGCTATTAATATAAACGATGTTTTGTTAATAGTAAAACGTACTATTTATTAATATTTTATTTAAACAGTTGTTTCCTTTAGAATGGAAGATAACGGTTGATTATTCTCAATATTATTTAACGTCATTTGACTAACATCACACTGTCCGGACACGGCCACGATACCTCTATTCAGTTTTTCGTAGTCGGTATTGGACGAATTGCTGCAAATAATACTGTCCTCTGTATTTAACGAATGTATTTGAATGTATCGAGTTTTAGCATTAATACATGATAAATTATCTGATTGGGCAGAAACATCCAATTGACATTGTTCTTTCCATACTACTTCATCGCCCAATGTATCATTGATAATCACTTGCAGTTCATTTGGAATACAAGCTACGTATTTATCGATTCCTGAAATATACATACACGCAATTCATATGCAATATAAGATATAATTTGATATAAATTCAATAATATATTTTGCTATACATATATATACATACAAATTATGTAAATATCAAAAAACCAAAACAAACACCCTTTTGAATGGGATAAACAAACAATAAACTACATACAAACTTTTGTACACACTACAACATAAATAAACAACACAACATTCAAAAGAAACTGTTTGTAAAAAAGCAAAACAAAAAATGATTGTTAACAAAATAGATAAATATTTTTTATTTATTTGTGTAAATAATTTTGAGGATTTTGTGTTTATTACAACACAACAAAAGTTTTTAGATTAAAAAAATATTCCAGCAAATGATTGTATATTTTTATCCTTTTAAATTCTGTACGAATACTTTGAGTAAATATTTTACATATCGATCATTTACTACAAGACTGGCTTAATCCATAATTTGAGTGTTTAATAACTTTTAACCAGATTCAGATAGTAGAGGTTTCTAATCTAAATTGAAATTTAATTTTTATTTATCGAATATTCGTGAACACATGAGTTTTAGTTTTTACATTTTTAACTAAAAATCGATCTTACACCGAAAATAATAGACAAATGAAAGCTTAGATCATTTTCTTTAAGAGCTTTGTGGTTACTTAGTGGGATGCGAGAAAGTTTTAACTTTTAAAAGTTTAGTTTTAACTTTTAAAAGTTTTATAATTTTTGGAAGAAATAATCATTTTATAATTTTTGGAAGAAATAAAAAAAGACTTTAAAACGGCGCATATTTTTTTATTATTCAGTTCAGCAAACCCGAATTTTGGATTATACCAGTCTTGTAGCAAATGGGTTTGAACACAATTTTTTTTATTATATACTAAAAAAGTAGTTACGATTTTTTCTCAAAATTATTTTGAATGAAAGATAAAGTTGCAATAAAATTTATAATAAATTTGCTGGAAATTTTTTTTTAAATGTTTATAAGATTTTTGTATATAAAATAAAAAAACATTTATCTAATTCGCTTACTTTAATATTTTTTAGAATTGAAAATTATATTTCTTTATTAAAGAAAAATATTTGTATAATAAAATTAAATTGTAATAAAAGGAGGTAATATTGGAGATTCCTATATACATAATAAACTAAAATAATTAATATATAGTACATTTATATAAATATTAAATACACACGATATGCATAAGTATTTATACAAAATGTTGACAAGTTCATTTGATTGGAGATTATTATTAAATTACTATAAATATGTAGAATATGTATTTATTTTTTTTGCAATGTTGATAAACAGTATGCAAAACTTTACTTATATAATTCAACATATCATTGAATTATATAAGTATATATCTCTCAGTACTGTAATATTCAGTAAATTACAACTGGGCTGTATTAAAATCAAATTTGATTTGTTTTTTATACATTCCTATAAAATATTTAATAGATCATAAGCTACTAAATAAATATATGTGTATGTAAGTACGTTAATGTGCACAGTAGTATTCAAGAAAATGACTACTGGGCTGTTCTAAACTTCAATTTGATTGTTTGATTCTTATGAATAAGTAAATTAATATTATAGTAAATCACAACAACATTAGCTTTATTAAAAAAGAGATACGATTGCTGTTTTTTTTTTTTGTTTTTAGTATATTTTACTAATGGGGCATTTCAAAAATGTTTGAACAAGTATTGTACCTTACCCATTTCGACTTTGATGAAACTTGGTACACACATCCTTTGTGTTAATACGAAGTTTAAAGTTCTCCTAAATTTCCAAATTCATTGTGGTTTAGATTTTATCAAGGTCAAAGTTCACATTTTTTAAAGATTTTTTTCAACAAGAATTGACATCGTATATTTTCTAAACTATTTATCCGATTTTAATCGTTTTACTGTTTGGCAATATTTTATTTAAAATATTGTAGTTTTAACATAAGGATAATGATATCAAAAAACGTCCTTTACTCAGGGATATCTCAAAAAGGTACTTTCCATTTTCTTTATTTCTTCACATAAGATTGCTTATAGTGCACTCAACATTATTAGAAAAAATGTGAATGGGACAATTAGAGGATCTCTAGTAAATCAACTTTTAGTAAAATAATCCACATCATTTCCATACAAATTTCAAAAAATTTTATTTTTTTGTTAATGAACAACTTATTTTTTGTTTCAAATTTTTAAATTTATTTTTGTGTTCATCAAAAAATACAACTATAAATTTTCACATTTGTATGGAAATTATGTGGATTATTTTAGTAAGAGTTTATTTACTTAAGATCCCCTCATTATCTTTTTCTGAAATTTTGTAAGCTTTTTGGTGACGGAATAAAGAAAATGGAAGATATCTTTAATTCAATATAATATAATTATCCTTATTTTTAAACTATAATATTTTAACAAAAGTATAGCTAAACTACAAGACATAGCCTTCAATTAGGGACTAAAACGATTAAAATCGGATAGATAGTTTAGAATGTGTGGACCGAATTTCATCAAAATTCTACTTTTTTGTTCGAAATTTTTTGAAATTACTCAATACATTTTTACAATTTATGTTTCCGCTTTATGTACTCTATTCTATAAAAGTCAGTTAGATCTAATTTATTTACTTTTGTGTAAATAAATGTATGTAAAAATACACTTTCAAGAGAAATATTTGAGTGATTTGATAAATACAAGAAAAATAAGACGCTACTAGTTGAACTATATAAATTAAAATACATATATAAATAATAAAATACAAAGTTTGTATAATTGAAATTTTAACAATACATGTATCTCAAAAATGTGAAATATATTTTAAATATTTTTATTTCTATGCAGTTTAAAACGCAGGTCGAACAAGGAAGGAACTCTTTCAATTGATCCGTGTTAATATATTTTTTTAATACAATCTAATCTATACATACGCTTTAAATATTAATGAAAAATTGGCATGAGTGGAAACCTTTTTCATGTTTGTTTTTGAGCCCAACATTCATATTTGTATAAAAATTATGTTTATGCTCATTTGACCAGCAATGCCAAGTTAAAAAGTCGAGGTAATTAAATAAATTAAATGATTTATAAATCATTACTAAAATTTAAAATAAATTGACCAGCAATAAAATTAAGTAAAACTTATGATTAAAAAATTAAAAATGCAAATAAAAATAATATAAGAGTTAAAATAGAAATTATTTAGATCGTTTTATCGTGGCAATTATTATTTCGTAATTAATGTTTGTATGTTTGTGAAACACTTTTTCACACTTTCAAAACATTCCATTAGAGGTGTATTCATTCAATTTGTACAACCAAAGATGCATTAATAATGAATAAAGTTTATTTGGATATCTTTGAAAAACAAGCAAGCATCCATCTAGTGTTTTATGCACTACACTGATAATAAATTTAAAATGTTTATTTAAAGTGCAACATCAATATGACTGCTGAAAACAAAAATTTTATGGCGAAACTTTTGAAAAATATACCCCTAATTATAATAATTTGAAAATTTAAATATGCCTGCCAATAATATAATGTTGAAAACGATCTAAACAATGCTATTTGTATAGGTATGTAATTAGGGCGGCAATGGAATCTATACTTAATTATTTATATGAATTTTAATAAAACGAGTCGCTTAGTTTAAAATTTATTTTGAGAAAATTAAATCAACACTAAACTGTGTATAATTGAGAGGTCTATGTTTAGTATTTACGACTATAATATTCGAAAACGACAATTAAAGTTAAAACATTTGCCGAAACAAGTATGTATGTATATGTGAAGGTACCGGTAAACAGTAGTTCAATTTGTTTTATCTAATCACAAAGTGGTACCGTAATCTACGCTGTATTGTTCAAAAGTGAAAATTTGATATTCTATTGCCGCCATAACGTACTATAAATTAACACAACATTTAGTGAATATTACAACATTTGGGCAAGCAATTATTATGATACTGCTGAACACCTGCGTTGGTCGTCTGGCAAATATCATCAACATCTTCAACATCACTATTCCCAGCAGTGCCACCATCTGTCTTACTTTTAAATTTCAAATTTTGTACGGAAGATTTTTTTTGTAAGTCTTCGAGTCGAGATTTTAGTTGAACTGGTGACACAACTCCTCTCTGTTGTTTTTTAATGTCATCGTCACAATTAACAACTCCTTCCGCGTGTTTAGAACTTTTTACATGTCCCTTAATATTCTCTATATTCAAATCTGACAAAATATTTGGTTTTAAAACTACTTTATTAGAATCTACTTCCAACAATTGTCGACAGTCCATTGCAGGACTTCTACTGTTACTTGATGTGGTGGTGGAACTACTCAGTTCTGGACACGGGGAATGTGACTCCGCACTTTCAGGTGTGTATGGGTCTTGTCGTTTTTGAGAAATATCAAAATAAGTGCTCAGATGCTGAGTGTCAATGCGATTAACAATAATATTGTTAGAGAGCATTAGGCGTTTCGAAATAAGCCGATATCTTGGTTCTGCCGGTTGTTTTTTTATAATGTTTTGACATTCTGGACAGATGGATCCATCGACGGAATCATCATTATCTACCTTATTTTCAATAGGAATTTGTGAACACATGCAAACATGAATATTGTCCGAATCTATGATGTTAATGCTAACTGGAGGCCATTTAGTTTTAATAGATCCTTCAACATTTCCATCAATTTGACTAGATTGAATAGTATTTGTTTGATACAACTTCTCTGCAACGCTGTCTATTACGTTATCGTTCTCATTTTTATCATTTGGGTTCGTTTTTGATAAACATTTAATATATTTATTAAGATATTTACATTCTTGGATTACTTCGTTGTATATTTTACTTCGGTGTGGACAGTACATTGATATGGTAGTATGTTGCTCAGCAGCACAACATAATGGAGTGACAGTATCTGCTGGGATTTGATGTGATGTTGATTTGTTGTTATTTGCATTTAATAAATTGCAACTACAACATCTATAAGTACCTTGATTGGATTTTAAGCGAATATTTAAATAAACAGGCTGAAGTTGCCCCGATAAACCAAAAAAAGAGAGAGGAAAAAAGAAATGTATATTTAAATTACAAATAAAAATAATATATAATTAAGTATATGCCTTTCTATAGTCACTGCATATTATCTTTTTTTTAATACATGTACCTTATGATCTCCCATGCAGACCTCTTCACCCATTATGCTATATATATTTGGTGATTCGGTTTCATGAACTATTTCTTTTGCTTGAACACTCATTAGAATACGATCGCACCAGGATGGGCAACGAGTAGACATATAATCGGTTGGCATTTCAGGATCTTCTTCATAAGGGTACGATGGTGGAAAATTAATTGGAAACTCAATTAAAAATTCTGTTAAGGGTTCGAGTTCACGATCAAATTTTTTCAACTAAATTAAAGCATAAGAAAATATTGAATTACGTTTTTTTATCGTTTCTTTTTTTAAATCCTAAAAATATTTACCCATGATTCTTTAAACTTTAATTGATGATCTGCATGATTAAATTCTTTCTTTCCAACCGTCAGAATATTATCACCGCCTGCATTTCGATAATGAACTTTTGTACAGTCATTTTTTGTACTATGTATACGATGAGCAGTTAGATTTTCAGTTAATTCCTAAAAAGATATACGACAGTTATAAACAAATTTTACGATTTACACACAAATTGTTATTCATTTTAAAATATTTTTTGTAATTCTAATTAACAAATTACACTGGTCTGCAATGAAATCCTCCTTTCAAGTAATATTTTTTAATAAACTTTTAAGAGTATTGTACTAACAATATTCGAAAGAATAATTCTATAAATTATTAAGACCATAGGTACCTCGCTCAGACTGTTATAAGCGTTTAAAGTTCAAAAACTTTTAGAGAAAATATATTTCATATTTAGACTATGAATGATCGACCAAAAAATAGTGGGTTTATAAATATCGAAAATTCAAAAATATGATTTAATAAGCCTCGTAATTACGCATCGTCAGATGTATATATCGTCAAGGAAATCTCCACTAGAAATACCAAAGTTAGCAATGAGTCTTAACAAAGAGGTCCTACAAGGGTAGGGTAGATATTTGTAATTTTTTAGGGAAAACAAAGAGCTGAAAATTATAAAGAAAAAACTACTGTTATCTGCATATCGACATTTTAAAAGAAATATCTCACTGAAATTTTATTTTTGGACTCACACTTTTTCCTGAAAATCTTGGTGCAGTATCAGATACAAATTTCGAAGGGTTCCACCAAGATATATTATAGAAAGGAAGAAGATACAACGGAAAATGGTCAGGCATGCTTGCCAATTTTGTCCACATTTTAAAATTTTACTGTAAATTTCCAAAAAAAAAAAAATTAATTTTTTTAAAACACTTTTGCGAAAAAATTTGACGTATTAGAATTTTTTGTTACCACACTTGAATTCAGGAGCATTAAATCTATCCCAATTAGCCATTGTTTGTTTGACTTTATATGTAGTTACTTAACTGTGAAAACAGCTAAGATTTATTTGGCCTGTTGTAAAAACATAACGCCATCACCAATTATAGCTAGTATTACTAGCAATTAAATAAAAAATGAAATTTCAACCACACGAAGGATTATAGCAAAACTTTAACTTTATTCAGGAACTCGATTAATTGAAAGATTTCTTCCAAACCGTCCGCCAAAAGGAAATCTACAATCGAACTATAGTTATCCATGAAAGGGAATAAGTTTCTAGTAGTCGAATATTTCTTACATTTAAAGATAACGTGTGAGTACATAATTCGGAATCGATAATTCCCATTTTACTTAGGATACTTCCGCAATACGTGTGACCGCTCAGAATACGGTCAGCCATTCTCAAGTCGGTGGCCTTAACGTTAGTTATGTTATGACTTATTGGAGAATTAATGTTAGAAATTGTTCTGCCTAAGTATTTGATAGAATTGACTTCCGGAATCGTTTTCGATTTGATTAGATCTAATATCTGCGGTCTATTACTGAAATCGATGGCTTTGGTCTTTTCTATGTTAACGGATAAATTTAGGTTTGTACATCTATCGGCTAGGTCATTTAGTTTATTCCGAAGATTATCCCTTGTCAAACTGAAATTTTTGTCTATGCAAACGATGAAAAAATCATCCGCAAATTGGAATAAGAAGGAATAATTAATTCATGTTATTTGGCCGTATAAAAGTTGAATAAAACTGGTGACAAAGCACTTCCCTGAGCCAATCCATCGTTTGTCGTAACTGACGGTCTGCCCAGTAACAAAATTCGGTTTTCTAGAAAGTTCCTAATCCAAAATGCCATGTGTGAATTAAAATCTGCTTCAATAATTAAATTCATGTTATTTGGCCGTATAAAAGTTGAATAAAACTGGTGACAAAGCACTTCCCTGAGCCAATCCATCGTTTGTCGTAACTGACGGTCTGCCCAGTAACAAAATTCGGTTTTCTAGAAAGTTCCTAATCCAAAATGCCATGTGTGAATTAAAATCTGCTTCAATAATTAAATTAAATAACTTCGCAACGTTCGTATTATCATACGCTTTTTCGATGTCCAAACAAACAGTAATAATAACGTCATTGACGCATTGGGCGGTTGATCTACGCTTACGAAATGCTTATGAACGTTCAGGGACTAAATTGTTTATTTCAATGTGATTTTCGATATGGACTTTCACCATAGCCTCCATACATTTGAATAACACCGAAAGAAAATATATAGATCTATTGTTGACAATAATATTTGGATCTTTGTTTTTCTTTGGTACCGGGCAGATAATAATTCTTCTCCAATCTTCCAAATTTTGATTATATTATCAAATAACCTTTTTCTGCTATCAAAACCAATTTTAACCAGGATCTTGTATGATATTCCATCAAAGCCTTTAGCCGACTCTGGATTTCGGGATAATACATAATTTTCAAATACTTCGTGTGATAAATCAGGGTTTGTGTTCACGATTATATCCAGGAATTCCTTCTTATGCTGTTCACTCCATGAATTATTAGGTTTTTTGGGTTGCTTATATTTTCTAACTTTAGACAATTTTGTCCACATTTCTTTAATTGATGAGGGTTTGTCAGATCATCTATAAGGTTACTAAAAGCGATTTTCTTTCTGTTAGTAAAATAATCATTGAGTTCCTTATCCTTAAAATATCTAAAATCGATTAATGATTGATCCTTAAAGAAACGAATCCTCATTAAATTACGGAGGTTAAAAAACCGATTAGCATCTTTATCCCACCATGCCTTGGGTTTAAATTTATTATCTTCTTTTAGATTAATTGCGTTTTGTCCCTAATAAAATCGATCGATTTTTTTAAATATCTAAAACGCCATTAAATTTTAAACTTTCAATATCTTTATAAAATTTGTTTTTATTTAAGAATTTAGTCATTGGTTTAACTTTGGAGTGAACAAGGTCAATAACGATTGGTAAGTGATTGCTGCCTGTAATCTTAGAGTTAACTGCCCTCCAGGATACTTCAAAAGTGTTGTAATTGTAATAAAAGGATACATCCAAGGCTGATGGCTGCGTATTTGGGACCACAAAAGTACTAGAACCATCGTTGATACATGAGAAATTATATAGATTGAGCATATCTTCCAAATTGTCGATTTAGCATTGAAGTCACCGCAAATTAACGTTTTATTTTTCATTCTCCTGCCAAAATCGAAGATTTTCCTCATGTCCAATGCAAATTTTAGTGTGATATTGGGGGGACAATATACATATATGATTGTAATATTATCCTTGAGATTGATAGTGGTAATTGCTAAGGAGTCACAGTTAGTATCCAAGATATTAATAAAATATTTAATTTTTCTTCTAAGATAAAAGCTTACTCCAACAAAGCCGTCTTTTCTATTTTTACAAACAAAGATGAAATCTGATAAGCTGGAATTAGAACTGTTAGTCAGCCACGTTTCGTAAAGTGCAGCGATATCTATGTTGTTAATATTCATGAAGATTTCCTTCTTTTTAAAACTTTGAATATTGCATTGGAGGATCTTCATTTTGTTGAGTAAGATTTAAAATTTGTCTTTAATCTTTAGATCTGTTAACCTTATCAGCATCTATATATTTCATGCCCCCGTTCACTTTGTCCCTCATGGATATTAAAATTTTTCCTGATCTTTCCGAATCGAATTTGCCATTGGACCAATCTAAGATAATGTGTCTTTATAAACCTGTGTTAATATTTCAATTGTCTTACTGAAATTCTTGTAGTTGTCCGATTGATCGCACGTGTCAGTAAACATGACAACGTTCTCTACGTTCACTGATGAATCTGTTCGATTTGAATTTCCAGGACGTGTGTATGACAAATGATTCGTGTGTATGACAAATGATCGTGCTCTTGCAATACTCTTTGGTGTTCACGGGCTAGTCTGCGTGCATTCTCATTTTCTCTCACTCTGTTAGGGTTTTTTTTGGCCACTTTCGCGTAAGATAGTACTCTATGAATATTTTTAACTGCTTCACTATGATGATCATAACTATTGTTCATTCCACCCGAAGGTCTAAGAGGAGGGAAATCTGTCGCATCTTCAAATACTTCGAATCTATTAGAATACACACTAGATAGACTGGTTCTAACTTCTTTTAGGGTCAGATTTTTTACTGTCATCAACTTTTTTATGGCACATGAGATCCGAACTGTCATCGTTTGCGTTGTGAAGATTAAAACAATTTCTACATACTTCCATGCTTTGCTTACAGTGCTGGGCAAAGTGATTGTAACGGAAGCACCGGTAGCATTGACCAAACGGTATAAAATATTTTACCCTAATTTTGGTGTGTCCATATATTATCTCCCTTGGGATTTCATTCCCTTTAAAAAGAACCTTCATATTCTTGGTGGGTACTGAAACCAATTCACCATTGTCATTTTTCCTCTTACGGTTAATTCTGAAAGCTTTCAAGATCTGAATAGGGGATTCTACAAAGTTCATGAATTCCTCATCCGAGACTTCGTTGGGATTATCGAAAATAATTCCAGTCTTAGTCACGAAGTGTGCAAATATTTTTGGCGTATAACCCTTCTCCTTTATTCTGGTATCATCAACAAAACTATTAGCTACTAAATTCTAAAATTCTTAAAAGAGATTTTGAATCTGCCAAACCCGATCTTGGATACATCAAATATGTCCGCTATCTGTAATTCCAGGATCACATTACATAGCGAGATAGCATTCAAATACTTTCTCATGCCCTTATCATCGTATGCATCTAAATATACTATGTATGGACCTTTATGGTCCTGATCGTATCGATAAGTAATCTCCACATTGGAAGACTGTTCCCTATTACTGTCAATGTTGCTTGATCTATTGCAAGTTAAATTATTGTCATTGTCCGACTTGGCCATATCCGACTAACCTGAATCATCCTCTATTAGTATTGTCTCAACGGAATCGTCTGCTTTCTTCCTCTTTCTCACGTTATCTTCTGAAGATGAATGATATCACAAAATTAAGTACAGTCACAATACGTTTCAACAAATTTTGCACAATCAAAAAATTCCAGTAAATAGACGCCACACACAAACAGTAAATTTAACTGTTCACAATAAAAAATTCACAAAGCACAAGATAGAGTGAGACAACAAAAAAAATGAAAG